AAACTTTTCGATGTTGCACATTTTCTTTGTTTACTCTGTTATAGTCCGAGAATTCCTTATGATGAAACTTCATCTTCCTTGATTTTTATTTTCACGTAAATCTATTAACATCGAATCTCGAGGTCAAACATTAGGCATGATGGTGTTTTTTTTTTGTTTTTGGTTCCTTCCGCGTCCCAACCAGAGATCTAAGGTCAGAAATTGCTTCATGAAATTTTCCACTGAACATTTTTGTTAAAAAAAAAAAAAAAAAAAAAAGATCACACACATTTTACATAGAAAAAGCTTTTCGTAATGTGTGAACTGTACTTGTTAGTACATTTTCTGTATTTCTTTAAGGCATAGGCTACCAGGAATCTCTTCAATAAGTCTATCGGAACCTTTTCCAATCATTACGAGGGCTCCAACTGCAACTGGAATTATTAATATCCTCATTATGCCACATTATTTTGATTTTCACTTCAAGATCCTTGTATTTTGAGTTTTTAGATCTTCAAAGATATTTTACAATCTGCAGGAACTGTCATGTCAATAAGAAAATACATTCTGTTTTTGTGATCTTTGATTACGATGTTTGTGTCATTTGCTTTGATTGTTCTGTCTGTGTTTATTGTAAAGTCCACAAAAATTGTTACAGGTTCTATCTCTGTAACCGGGTCTGGGTGATGTTCATAACAGTTTCTTGCCGATTCTTTCACGTAAAAGTTGGTGATTTCCAGTGCAGATATTCGACCACACTGTCATGCCGAGTTTTATATTTAGTAGGTGCTAACACCGTACAACTTGATATAATATCTGTATTTCCGGTTATTATTATTATTATTATTATTATTATTATTATTATTATTATAGTTTTATGGCATTTCTTGTTAATGTAACATGATTACTTTTTCATTTGTTATCAGTTTCTTTTGTTTTCTTTCTTTTAATTTTTCGGTTTCATTCTTTTTTCCACTTTTAGTATTAATCATACATTCCTTCCTTCTATTTTACAGTATTCTTGGTTTTTATTCTTCCATTTTGTTAGCTTCCTCCACAATCTCTACGCATTTCTTTGGATTTTTATCTCTATTATTAAAACATTTTATTTCCAGTTTAATGTGATTTCAATCACAATTCCTTTAATTCTGATTTCCAAATCCCTAATCAATTAAAAGATTCTTTATGGCCAGCCATTTTTAATTCTTCATCTTTTCATCAGGGAAATTTTTTGCTTTAAATTTTATTCTTGAAAATGCCATCAATGTTTTTTTTGCTTCCTCGTGTGTTCTTTATCGAATCAAATGTCACAAATTCTACGGAATCGGCAATTTTCATTTTCATTAAAACATGATATATTTTTTATATTTTGGCTTAAGTATACATACATACATACATATATGTGTGTGTGCGTGTGTCTGTATATCTGTATGTGCACGCACGCGCGCGTGTATATCTACTTTAAAATAATGTTATCATATAATGTTGTATATAAACACACGCACATACACACTCACACACACACACATATATGTCATTGCGTTGTGGTTGATAGAGTTTTGTTACTGGTGAGGAAATATATATATATATATATATATATATATATATATATATATATATATATATATATATATATATATTTTATTACTAATGTTCTGTCTATTCTCACACACTCTCTCTATCTATGCATATATATATATATATATATATATATATATATATATATATATGTGTGTGTGTGTGTATGCGTGTGTGTGTGTGTATTTGCGCAGAATTCCTCTTTATACAAGTTTCATTTAAGAATTTAAGATCAATAACAAGGCGACAATGCGATTAAGCTTTTTATTATATTTTCTTTGCAATCGTACAGCTGATTTCTTTTTGAGACAAGATTGTGTAAAAACCATACAAATTACCAGTGAGTCTACAGATCATTTGGACAGTTTCTACACACAGAAAGTTGACACCTTCGTCGATTGTTTTATCTTTTTCACGATGTTTGAGAAAATGTTTGTGCAGTTTTTTCTCTTACTTTTAATATCACCGCCCGGAAGGCTCTCTCCATAATTTTACTCTTTGTCTGATTTATAACACCGGTTTGTTGAAGAATTTTCTTAGACCTTTAGTAGATATATATGCAGGCAATACCAATTTATTTTCTACCCTTTTCTTACAGACGAAACGTCGCAAGCCACTCGTTGCTTTATCGCTATTTCCATAGAAAGTATTCAGATGAACTACATTTCTTAATTCCATTAATTCCTTCACGGATAAGACCCACCATGATATGCATATTATAGCGGACCACCATTATTCCCTATGTATTCCATTATTGAGATTTAAGTTACACTCGAATAGTTTCTTCCTCCGAGTCGCTGCTCCAAAGAGAATGCTTCCTGGTCAATACAATCTTAACCTGTTCAAATTTAAGGTTAACAGTTAATTTCCACACATATTTACATAAACTGTGCCTCTTACTCTGGCTAGAGTGGATTTCGTCCCTTCTACAGAGTAAACATTGTAAAAAATATTGAGTGCAAAGTCTATTCTGGTATGATCTGTGGTGAGGCACATAATACATCATGATGCTATGAATTTATATGAATATTATTTTCATTCATTCAGGTGGGACACTATTGGATGATGTAATACACAGCTTAACTCAGGTAGAATACGTTCGTGGCTGAATAATAATGCTATGAATTCATAGGAACAAAAGATTTATACCGACAATGTTAGAAATTGTTATGGAATATGCTTGAAAAAATATTTTTACTGATATGCAGTGACAACAAGAGAATAAATATTTTTCTATCTTTGTATCTTCTTCTATGTGCCGTATTCCTTGGTGATCATGGCTCTCCCCAATTTCCTGTTTTTGTAACTCTTAATAAAGTTTGTCTTTTTTTCATCTCTCTCAAACTCTGCTCCGCGATCTATTCACTCAAGCTTGCCAGGTACGTTGGGCAATGCTTCAGTCTGTCCTGAGAGTACCAAATTTTCCAAGCCTTCTTTCCTCATTATGTACCCTAGATGTTTCAGTTGTATCTTCCTGATGTTAGGTATAAGTGTCTATTTTTTTTCTCTCATTGTCTCTAGAACATCGTCTTTGCTCACATGTTTGGTCGATGAAATTATCAGAATCCTTCTGTCAAGCTAGATTTTTGTTACTTCAAGTCCCGCGAGAATCTCTGACGAGATTGTCCAGCATTTACTGCCATATAAGAAGAATGATAGCATATAACTGCTGAGTACTTTTTTTCTTTTTTTCTAAGCATATTTTCCGAAATTTTTGTATTTTTTATTTTAACTCTATTCTTTTTTGTTAATTAATAGCATACCCACTGGCAGCATTAGCCTTAAATTTGAGACTGATTTGGAGACTGGCATATTTACGTGAATTCAGTCAACAAAAACCTCGGAAATTCGCATATTTATTTTTAACGAAGCATCTGCAGCGTATTAATACATATTTTATTTAGGTTCGAGTTTTTATAAATTTGTCATCGTAAATATAATATTTCGAATCATTTTTTGAAATATTTAGATTTTCTCAAATTTATTTTGCGCATGTTTCCCCCCATTGTATTGTTTTATTTCCTTTCTATTGTTGATGTTGTTCTTCAATTGCATTGACTTTTTTCGCCTTTCTTATTTAATATTCTCTTACTTGCCATCAACAGAATTGTCACTTCACTTCTTTCCTTACAGCTTCTTCGTTTAATTCAACTCATTCTTATCTTTCATTTTATTTTCATTTCTTAACCTATTTTCTACTTTCCTCTGTTATTTTTTCTTTTCTTTCCTTCTGCCTCATTCTTTTCCTTTAATTCTAATTTCTCTTTCTATTTTCTTTCTGCTTCACCGGAATTTTTCTTCTCTCATCTTTTTTTCTTCCTCTCTATAATCTAACCCTAACCCTAATCTATTTTTCTGTTTTTTGCCTACGTCTTTTCTCTTCTTGGTCTTTTTCTTTGTTACTTTTTAATTTATTATTATTATAGATGGAAAGCACATTGTTGTTGTTGTTGTTGTTGTTGTTGTTGTTGTTCTTCTTCTTCTTCTTCTTCCCATCCTCCTCTTTTTGTTTTTCTTCCAACCATCTTCCTTTCTTTCTCTTTAGTCTTCTTTCTCCCTAGTTCTTCTTCCCTTTTTCTTTTACGTATTCTTTCCATTTTTTGCTTTTATCTTGCTTTTTCATCATCCCCAACATCATAATCATCATCATCATCTGCTTTTTTTTCTTTAACCACTTTTCCTTTCTTTCTTTTTTACGGCTTTCTATCTTCTCCCTATTTCTTCTTTTTCTTCATCATCATCATCATCATCATCATCATCATCGTCGTCGTCGTCGTCGTCGACGACGCCGTCTTCTTCTTCATCTACTTCTTTTTCTTCTTCTGTTTTTAACCACTTTTCCCCATTTCTCTTTATCCCGCTTTTTTCTTCCTCTTTCTTTTTCCCATTTCTTTTACATCTTTTAACTCTTTCTTTTTTATCATCTCCCTTTTTTCATCTTCTTTTTCTACTTTTAATCATCTTTCCTTTCTTTCTTTTATTCCCAAGCCTGCGTAACTTTCCTTCTTCCTATTTCTTCTTCTCTTTAATTTCGCATATCCATTTACCGCTTTTTTCCCATCATCATCATCATCATCATCATCATCATCATCATCATCATTTCTTCTTTTATTCTTGTTTTCCCTTCTTCTAAAATCTTTTATCGGCTATAATCCACGTTTTCCTCTTTTTCAGAACCGCACACTTACCAGCTCTTTACATTTGGGCCACCCTACCCACCCGCTCCCCACCAAACAAACATCATAGATTTGGCAAAGCCAAAGAGGACTTCTAATCTGCGTCGTCGTTCCATAAAAACTCAGTCAGGCGAAGTTTGATCTGTTTACTGTTGTCAGCGGTGACATACCCCGGGGATCGAGAATATTCTAGCTCGATCATCCCCACTCCACCCATAACCACCTCCACTTGTCCGCATCATCTCTATGATGATAATGATGGTGGCGATGCTAGTTCGCCTTTTGCAAGTCCCACTCGCTCATAATTCATTGTCTCGGGCTTTAAATCATAGTACCCCACCCTCCAACCTACACCAACACTCCTATAGTTCTAATCCTCGGATTGTAGTCTTTCAACACACCGTATCATCTTAGTGTCAACACATAGATGTAGGAGGAAATATAAACAGAAGCATTGTCGGCTTAACATAGTGCGAGTCTCGGTAATTCATCCTAACATAATGTATCTTAATGTTTTCTTGTCACACGCTTAGGTAGACATATACACGAACTCGTTGAAAGAGATCAGTAAATTCCGTCTCCGAAATTCTGAAACTTTCTTTCTCTTCATTTGTATATATGTCTCTCTCTCTCTTACTAACGTTCGCTCTTTTTTTCTCATTCCAACTCTCTCTCTCTCTAGTTAGTATTTCCGATCTCTCTTCATCTCTCTCTCTTTCTCCCACCTTTTCCTCTTAATCTCGCCCAAACTTCCTCGTTTCATTACAAATATCTCTGCCATTCCTCGCTGATCTTTAATACTCCCTCTTTTTCTCAATCCTTTCTCTCATTCTCTATCGCTGTACATCCTCTGGCTCCCATTGTCTTCCTTCCTCTCTCTCTTAGCTCTTTCTCAAAAGCATTCCCTCTCACGCATTCTCTCTTTCTCTCTGTCATGCATTCTCTTTCCCACGCATTATCTCTCTCTCAGCATTGTCCCTCTCGCAATCTCCCTCAAGCATTATTTCTCTCTCTCTCTCACGTATTCTCTCTCTCTCACACCTATTCTCTCTCTCTCCCACGTATTCTCTCTCTCTCTCACACCTATTCTCTCTCTCTCTCTCACGTATTCTCTCTCTCTCACACCTATTCTCTCTCTCTCTCACGTATTCTCTCTCTCTCACACCTATCCTCTCTCTCTCTCACGTATTCTCTCTCTCTCTCACACCTATTCTCCCTCTCTCTCAGGTATCTCTCTCTCTCACACCTATTCTCTCTCTCTCACGTATTCTCTCTCTCTCATGTATTCTCTCTCTCATTTCTCGGTTCCGACTTCCAAATTTCTTTTCTCTCCTCCCTGCATATGTATATATCGATGCATATTAATATGTGTAGATGTTAACATGTATACTCATGTTGATTTTACCTTCCCTTGTCTCAAATAATAGTTTCAACAGTGTTACATAATGGTATATATATATATATATATATATATATATATATATATATATATATATATATATATAATGGTATATATATATATATATTTAGTTGTATTGATGTGAGTTTGTGACCCGGGGTTTCACGCTATTTGCGATCGTCAAACAAGCTCTGCCACTGATATTGAGCGCTTTCCAATAAGTAGCGCGCATATATAATATATAAATAATATATAAGAAGTAGAGGAAGAAGTACGAAATAAGTAAGATTACAATATACAACAAAATAAATTGCCAGGGTTATAGAACGGCATATTTAGATAACTTGATAGATATGGATAGGTAAGGAATACACCGTCATCGATCCATTTGTATAGGCGAAAAGACATGATGATGTGCCCGACCTGAGATAGATAGATAGAAAGAAAGAAAGAAAGAAAGAAAGAAAGAGACTGTGATATGCACACAGACAGACAGAGATAGATAGATCGATCGATCGATAGATAGATAGAAAGAAAGTAACTGACAGTGATCTATCTATCTATCTCTCTCTCTCTCTCTCTCTCTCTCTATATATATATATATATATATATATATATATGAATGCGAACAGATATAGAATGAGAGACAGATAGATCGTTAGTTATGAACATACGGACATAGATATGAACAGAGACAACAAGCAAGCTATCTAGATAGACAAAGACGTACACGGATAGTGTTGGCTAAGAAAGACAGATAGAGAGAGAGAGAGAGAGAGAGAAAGAGAGAGAGAGAGAGAGAGAGAAAGAGAGATAGAAGTGGAAGGAATTAAATAGATATATACCTACAAACACATCTAGGAAGATAGCTGAAACAAAAAGCTGGAATTGAAATGTTAAAGAGAAAGCGAAGCTAGAAGAGAATGCTAGAAAGTATTAACACATAAATGTCAATCTAAATTTTTCTGAATTGTGATCTTTTAGTTTTTACCTCAGTTTGTTTTCATTTTAATCTAAGCTTTTAATGCACTTCTCAAATTTGTGCAAGGTTTTCCACTAGAGAGTTCTATGGGGAATCGTTTGGCTTAAGCTACACGCCTTGTCTTCCATCTTGCTATTTGAATTTTTGTTTCTGTCTTCATTGGTCTATGAGCAGGCGAATATAGTTTCATATTTTTTGCATATTAATGTTTACCTAGTATTTTCTCTACCTTAATTTCAATTGTTTTTTTTATTATTACTCAGAACTCCATTCAATAGTCTTCATTAGTAAACATTAGTAAATATAGATTAAACTGACGGCGAGACACGAGATCCCGTCTTGCTTCGGAAATGTAATCTTGACTGCACCTCTTACGGATTAAACCACGGTAGCGTTTTAATTGGCAGAAACTGAAAGCTACATTTATTTATTATTCGGTCAAACAAGCTAGTACATTCATATGGCTATCAGGCCAACCATCATGGTACTGCATCAAAATCGAAAAGTCATAAGGATGGCATCTTGTGTCATTACAGAGCCGGTCAATGTACGTGGCCGCTGGGTAACCAAACCGTCTTGCGCCATGGCTAGGTGTCCAGATCAGTAGATTACTGAAAGTTCTAGTTTTGCTCGTCAGCTGTGTCCTGCAAAGCGCATTCTGCGTTCACGTAAGATTGTAGAAATATCAGAGATGGGTTCATGTTAAGTATACATCTCTCAGTATCCGAGTGTAGGTTCCATAAAGCTTAGACAAGAGTTTTAGTTATTGTCCAAGCAGCGGCGCCATACGTTAAAATGTGACATTCCTCTTCCGGATGTCTGAATTATTTCCCTTTAACTGAACTCTCCAAGTTTTTTGGTTCACCTTGCTGTAGCCTGGTATTGACCTGACAACTCTTTGGGTCTAGTCACTGGATCTAACCAACATCTTTATCCACTGAGCCATATGTTCGTGAGGACTAGAACAATCTACGGTGGACGAAATAAAGGTTTCGTTTCGAAATTTCAATCACTTGAAGAAGGACGGGGCGTACAACGGTCGAAACGTTGTGAAAATGGCAATGAAGATGAGGATAACAGTTTGAATAATGTAAATAATGCAAATAATCATAATACCTCCTCTCAGAGATATAGACAGATATATAGGCACATAGTAACAAAATTGTAGCGACTTCAACCAAATCCATTTAAAATATTACATTCATGACACTAACCCATAAAATATCCTACAAAATCTTAAATCAAACTGTATTCCAAAATATAACTTCAACAAAACTATAACATAAAACACGTATCACCGCCTCTTGTAATCATGCCCACACCAACGTGTATATTCACAAAAGCTGAGTATCATTTACCATAAATTCAATTGTGAAAGCAGAATAATATATATGATATTTTTATTACTTTCAAGCTCCCAAGAAAATTAAATTTAGCATTAAATAACGCATAAGGAGTTGATATGCCGTTAAACAGACAAATCTATCTATCTATCTATCTATCTATCTATCTATCTATCTATCTATCTATCTATCTATCTATCTATCTATCGTCTGTCCATGGGTATGTATGTAATTATTTATACGTACAATTACTTCGGTTGCTGTCCAGGCGCGCGGTTAGCACCTATTGAGTGATGCACTCCAAGCTTTTGCTAAGTTACCCATTTAGAAGAAGGGAAACCAATGTATGGCTGACATCAGTGTTAATCTGGATATCTCGCATAAGCTTGTATCTTCTAACCATAACTGTAACTATAGATTCAATTTATAAGCAATGCTCATACCAGTCTGTATGTATGTATCTTTTTTATAGTTCATTGAGAGTTCAGGCATTTGAGAAACTAGAGGATCATGTTGGAGAACCTGTTCACACATTGGATGTGATGCATTCATGGAGATTCGATTTTGATAAGCGTGTTTGTTTAACGGCATATCAACTCCTTATAGATTATTTAATGCCGAATTTTAATTTGCTTTCTATCTTGGGCAATTTCTTTTTTACAACAATTTATTGCTAGTAATTGTGTTTTCTATTAGAAAAAATCTCTTGCTGATAATTTATTTTTTTAAAATCTATACTTTCAGTTTTTTTACCCTAGTTTGGGGGTTCCCTATTTCTCATGAACCGTGGCCATGTGGAAGTGACTCGCTTGAAATTGCTTTCCAGATCTTTACAAGTCTTGGGTTAACCGTTATCTTTCACACGTATCCGCATAAGCTGTGACTCTTACTCTGTAACACTCCAGATCGAGTGCCGACCCAGGTCTTGTATAGGGTGAACAACATTGTAAAAGAAAAAAAAAAGAAAACAAAAACGAACACAGATTTAATATTATAGTATCTTAAGTTACCACTATTACTCGACTTTAGTGTTTGTGAAAGAAACGTTGGTCAGCGCCATGCACGTCCATAATAGTGATCAATCCATTTGGCTGCCATTGCTACAACAAGCAAGGAAGGACCTTTTCCAGTAAGATTTTGCTCTTCTCTAGGATGAGTGTGCCACCTGTCATTCACTGTAAGATATTCAGCAAAATCCTTGGTCGACACAACTGATGACATTTCACGATTTGATAGGAAAGAAATGTGCCCGGAGACATCGTAACTTTTCAGTTTGTGGGGAAGACCTGTATACTAAACCTTGTCAAAGGCTTTCGTGATGTCCACTGCTACAGGATTCACGGTTTTCATCTAGGGCATCATAGATTCTTTCCGCAATTATCGACAGTAAATCAGCAGTTGGCCCGGAGAAACAAAAGTCATATTTCTTGTTAGAAAAGAGGCCCTGCAATGAGAGATGATGAACTAATTCGACATTGATTAGGATCTCTAGGAGTTTCCCAAAAAGAGGTAGAAGATTAATAGGCCGATTGTTCAACAGATTCTTAAAAACTGGAACAATAGATAATGACTTCCAGCAGGCAGAAAAGCAGGAGGCACCAGGGTATTTATTATAAGGTTTAGTGAAAAGAGAAACCAGTTCGGGAGTACACTTCTTAATGACTATTACAGAGATACCATCGTCTCCACATGATTTGTCTATATTTCTGAGATGAGGTATTATGTACAGTATTTACATTAGTCGGACTATTGTCCTCATCTTTGTCACAACGTTTCGGCCGTTGTACGCTCCGGCCTTCTTCAGGTGATTGAAATTTCGAACAAGGACACATGGCACAGTGGATAAAGGCGTTGGTTAGATCCAGTGACAGACCCAAAGAAGGTGAGTTCAATTCCTGGTTAAGGCAGTGGAGAACTTTCAGGGGAAAATTAGCAGGAGATAACTGATAACTGACATCCATCAAACATGGCACGTGGAACAGTCTACCCCAGTGATCGAAATAAAGGGTTCAGTTCGAAATTCCAACCACCTGAAGAAGGCCGGAGCGTACAACGGCCGAAACGTTGTGACAAATATGGCGACAAAGATGAGGACAATAGTCCGACTAATGTAAATACTGTCCATATGATTTGTTGTGATTTAGGTTAGAGATGACAGTAGGAACCATGGAAGGAGATCCGTGCATATCACATATCTGAGAGTCAATTCTCAGTGGGAAGTTAGGCAGGTATACTCCAGATAAGTCAAGAGTAGAGTTTAAGAAAACTTTACGGACAAAGCTTTATCAGCAGATTATGTTAACACATCAAATTGATTGGAGGGGGAAGGATAGAGACCTTACACTTATTTAATACTTTATAACAGAGTCGCCAGTAATTCTGAGAACTAAAGTTGTTAGAGACTATGCGGTGCCTCATTTTCCCGGCAAATAGGGACTTATTTCCTTCGAGGATTCGCTTACATTATTACAGGCAGCAAAGAATAAGCGCCTGTTGTGACGAGAGCTGCACGCTATAGAAAATAGTGGTACCTGTGTGCCATAGAGACCGAACATTCTGGTGTGAAGCAAAAAAGATTTGAGGTTCCACGCGCCGGCTTTGTTCCAAGAAGAAACTCTGGGGCACAATTTTCAATTGGGAGGTTAAAGATGTCAGTCCAAGGGGCAACACAAAGAAAATCACGGAGTCCCAGTCACCATGGTTATAACAGATAGAAGGTTCCTGTTTAATAGAGGATTGGAACGAAATATCAATATATATCACAGATTGGTCTGAGTTACCAAGCGGGCAGTGTTGCTAAGGTTCGGCAAGAGCGAGGAGAGGAGGTAAAAAATAAATCAAGTAGAGAAGCATCTTGCTCAGTTTTTCTAGGGAAACGAGTAGGAAAGTCTGCGATTTGAGTAAGGGACTGGGCAATGAAAGATTTAATATCTGAATACCGGCAACTTTAGAATATCCCTTTAGAATGTTTAAGCCACGTGTTATGGTATGTATTAAAGTCACCGAATCCAAAGATGTACGCAGATAGATGAAGATAAAGTGCCTTTTCTATATTGTCAGCTATTATGTCTAATATAGTGAAGTCCTGAGAAGAGGGGGGTGATGAAGGAAAAATAGATAGCTAACAGAGTTTACTAACGAAAAACGGAAGCATATGTAAGAGTTAACTGAGGCCTCCAGAGAAAATACCCTGGAAGATTATCTGGGATGTAAACACCAAAGCCATGCATATGAATGCTGGATTCTTTTCGGCATAGGAGAAGATAGCCTGGAACCAATAATTCATTGGTTGCAACGAAAGAATTTAAATTGGTTTTGCAGAGGGAAAAAATTCTGGCGACCGTTCCAAGAAAAAAAGATTCTACATTGCAGAAGTTGGAACTGATACGACGAGTATTAGAGAAAGAATTGGTTGAGGAGGTTTTTTGTTGACTAGTTTAGTTGGATTTCTTTTTGTTTTTGTTGTGATATAATGTTATTCTCTTAAAGAAAAAGACCACCATTATTATCACTGTCATCAACGACAATACAAACGATCCCGTACGTGGCTGAGAACAGAGCATAATGTGGACTCACATTTGCCTACCGAAAATGGAAATTAAAATGACATGCTTATACTTACAGTCACAAAAAAACAGTTGGAATTTCTGGGGATACCTAAAAAGGAAAAAGAGCTTGGCGAATTTGGAACTCACAGGAAACACTGAATTCGTGAATGGAAGAAGAAAAATTGAGTAAACGGGCAGAACAGAAAGTGTGGGGGGGGTATTTGGATGGAAAGTAAAAATCAAATATTGATAAGAGAGGACAGATCTTTTAGAAGACATTTTCCTAAAAACTTACGGATTTCGGTGTCGTTTATTAAAACACACCACAAATATTTAAATTTCTGTACTTGCTTGAATTTCATATCTCCAAATTTGTACTTATCATCTTGGGCTGTTACACTTGTAAATAAACTTCATTTTACAATCGATGGTTTGTCCATTATTCCTGCTTTTACTAATTATACTTTCTTTTTCTGTAACTTAATTTAATAGCTGCGAAATATTTTATCAAAGACATGACAAAAAGCATCAATAAAGTATTACAGAAAGTGGTGTTTAAAACCTTTTCAGAGAAACAAAAAAAATAATTTCGGCTGAAAATTTAATGTTCGAATAGTCGAGTTCCAATTTTTGTTGATTTAATTTTATTTACTTGTGTGCAGATAACCTTGGGAAACGTATGAATTCGTCTCTTCTCCCACAGTTAATTAGTAAGATTTGAAAAAAAAAATGAAAACATTATTATTTCAAAAAATTCTTAAAAACGAAAAATATTTTATGGCTTTAAATAACCAGCAAAACGTTGATAAGCCATAGAAAACGAATCAATCATTCATGAAAAAAACATTCGATGCCGAAGTTTCAAAAAAACTGTGACGCTTAATTTTAAATAGAAGTTCATTTCAGAAATCAACGGAAACTCGTATATACCATCAAACGGTAAAGATTTTTGCAAAAAATGGTCGACTCATTCTACCGCTCAAGAAAGTCCCTGATTACTTCTGCCATATTTCATTTTTACAAAGTCAGATTAGTCCAAAAATGAAGTATTGCTGGAGTTACTTATTATTTAGCCTTGTTAGAGTTGAAAAATAATTGTAGTTGTAATTTTCTACTCTTCAGTTTCTTTAGTAGAGACGCAATTTTGCAAACCAATCTCTAAACTATCGTTATCTCCATGGGAAACGTTTAGACGATCTTCACTCTTTAGCAGGCCTTCAGAACTAAGAGTCTGGCCAAGCTATTTCCACAAAGTCGAATCACCCATATTTCTTCCATATTCCAATTCTACGGAGGTATTTCGAAACAGACAACTTCTCCCCAAGTGTGGAATCGTATCCTCTTCAAATCAACCATTATTTATCCTCTTTACTCTAATAGCCTTTATTTCCTTTGACCTTGTTAATTTATATAACAGAATAATCTTCTACCTCCAGGGGCTCTTAAGCCTTTTATTGGGTAAAACATCATTAAAACTAATACTTGAAAACTTTTAATCATAAAAGCCTTTTAATCATAAAAGCCAATTGCGACTTAAATTTCGTTTTTGTTAGGTTAGAGCCACTAATCTTTTTTTTATTGTGCGTTTTGAAAAAATAAAAACAGATTTCATTGACTTTAGGCTTTTGATTGAGCATGCCGCCTAATCTGAATGTCCGATCGTTGGCTTAAGCTTAGAACTATGTCCCTGGTCTGGGATCTCTGTCTCTCTCTAAACACTGAACCCATATCCTCTGCTACTGCTACGAATACCCGTACTTGAAACCTTTCACTGTCGCAAGGGCTTAAGGCTAAGCCATTTTCGCCGATTCCGTACTCAGCTACCCTCAATATGTCCCGTTCTCAACACTCCGAGCTGTCCATTTATATCTATCAATGAAAACACTACAGTTCCCCGTCTCGGATCGCTGTGCTAATCCGAACATCTCGACAGAAAAATCAAATACTTGAAGAAAAAATAAAATAAATTTAAATATAAACAATTGAATATAAAAATAGACAAATTCGTTTTAATAAAAATAAACTCAAATACCAATTTAAAAGTAAATAATTCTAAAAAATAAAAGAAATAAAAAGGGAAAGATTACGGGAGAAAATAAATATAAACCGCTTTTAGAATATATTGTCACCATTTCTTTTTCAGGAACGAAGTTTTAATCAATTTAGCCATTGAAGTCTACGGCTTACACAACACTCAAATCGGAAACAAATTTTTAATGTTTTGATTACTTAAAACCATTTGTTTGTAGCATTTTCAAGGGTGTCATTCAGATATTTTTTGTTCCTAGTTCATGAGGAACTATTATTATTATTACTATTAGTACGAATTATTATTTGCCATTATTATTACATATAAATATTATTATTACGCATTATTATTATTATTATTATTATTATTATTATTATTATTATTATTATTATTATTATTATTATTATTATTATTATTATTACGCATTATGTACAAATATAGCTTGTCTTGAAAAATGGTTTCACTGGTAATTAACAGCAAACATTTTTTTCTCTCAAGACAAACGACATTTGTCCATAAAGTTGTTTTTCTACTTGTCTGCGCTTTGCCATGATGAATCTCATTTCCTGTAAGGAGAAACAAGTTTTCACTCTTTTTTTGAAGATTATTTGCTAAATATTATACAACTAAGTAATTAAAAATTAATCATGCTATAATGTTATTCTCTTAAATTAATTATAAAATTTGAATTTTCATGTTTAGATTTCAATATTAAACGACCCATACGAATTGATATGCCGCTAAAGAAAAATAACCAACCAACCGATCAGGTTTTATATATCGCTTTTAAAACACGGGCTTACAGTTAAAATATTGTTAGAAAATATTAAACATTGTATCTTTCTTTCTTTCTTTTTCTTTTCTGGAAATTGCGCTCTTCTGGAAGTTTAATAATAATAATAATAATAATAATAATAATGAGTAAAAGAAAGTGTTTAATCATCTATTCTACATGACGACAATAAAGTGAAGGGTCTCGTCAATATTGCAAAATGTTTCAGTGATGAAATCGATAGAGATTTCGATTTCGATGAATATTCAAAAGTACGGGAATGTACGGGACAATTCCAGAAACACACTCAATAGATTTAGATTTTGTCACAATGATTAGGAATTTGGAACAAGAAGAAGCCTATAAATATTTAGGAATCAGCAAAGGAGATTAAATACAGTCTACCCAAGTGAAAGAATATTGCAGGCATGTGTGGCTGGTATTAAATATGGAGTTGAATTCACAAAATAGAATATCAGTCATAAACACTTTGCTTGTCCCTAAGGTACAATATAGTTTCAACATCCTTAATTGGATCATGGCTGACATTAAGCAAATGTATGTCAAAACAAGAAATTTTCTCACTTGCCACCATATGCATCATCATAAGGCTGTATGCGTATGCTGTATGTGTCCAGATTTGAAGGCAACAGAAAATTAGTTTTCAACTAGAACTGTCTTGCAAACGAAAACAATCGTCCGTCAAAGATACTGCAGAAAACTGGATGATGATCTCTGTCAAAGAACATGATAGAAATAAGAAACTTTATTCAGTAATAAAGGAAACCAACAAATTCAAAAGGGAATTTCATGTGAGTGAAGAAGTGCAAATAAACCATAATACACCGACTGCAACGGTAAAGAAACTAAAAAAAAGGCACAAGCAAATGCAATGTACCAAATTCAGAAACGATGACAAAATAAGCCTATTAATAGAGTCAATACTCTGTCCGTACCAAACAAGCTGATGTAGACAAGACCCCGTATCCATCAGTCGTACCAGGTGTAAAGCTGAAACTGAAGGGTTTTATTCTTGCTTAATGCTTGCCAAATGGAAATTATTAGGTTGGTGCAAAAATAATGACGTAATAATGTCGTTTTTTGACGATAAAAATACGTCAAAAAACGACATTATTACGTCATTATTTTTGCACCAACCTAATACTAAGCACGCATAATGAAAATTGTGTTAACCCGAAATGCAGATAAATATCCTGAAACAATTGACCATCTTGTATCAGGTTGTAGTGTTAGCAACCACCGAATAAAAAACTCGACATAATAGAGTAGGCCAATATCTGCACTGGAACATATACAACATTTACGGGAATGAAACGGGTATGAAACAGACCCAGTTACAGAGATAGGACCTGTAACAATTTTAAGGTACATTATAATACATATAGGAAGAAAAATCAAAGCTAATTGCCCAGACATGAATTGATCAAAGCCACGAAAACAGAATATGCATTATTATTGACATGACCGTTCCTGCAGATTGTATTGTATTTTTGAAGATCTTCAAAAACTATCAAAATACAAGGATCTTGAAGTGGAAATCTCAAAAATGTGGCACACGAGGACATCAGTAATTCCAGTTGTAGTTGGAACACTCGGTTTGATAAGAAAAAGCTCCGATGGACTCATTGAGGGGATCCCTGTTGGCCTATGTCTTAAAGAAATACAACAATTTTTACTCACAAGTACAGCTCACACCTTACGAAAGGCTCTCTGTGTCCAAAATAAGTGCGCTCTTAGGTAGCCTTATTTGATTTGGAGTTTGTTTTCAGCAAAAAAAAAAAAAAATACTTAGTGAAAATATCATGATGATATTTCTAACCTTAGGTTTCTGGTTGGGATCCGGATGCAACTGAAATCAAAGGAAATAATAATAATAATAATAATAATAATAATAATAATAATAATAATAATAATAAGTAGTTATATCCCACGAACGTTTCAGGGTTTTCCTATTTTAATATTATGATGAATTTTAATTCTAAAGTTAATGATTGAATAAGCTCGTGGAGAATTCTCCGACAATAAAATATCTGTAGAAATTCCTTTATCGCATCGTTGAATATTTGAGCTTAAAAACTTTAACAAAATATTTTAATAACAATTTTATGAATGTTAGTCGTTATTTTAAGAGGTGGTTTGAAATGAAAAAAAATTGAAATTGACAACGTTTTCCATTTCACTGAAATATCCGTTAAACACTTCTTTCTTTCTTTCTTTCTTTCTTTCTTTCTTTATTTCTTTCTTTTATTCATTGATTCATTTTCCGATGAAATAAAGTAGTATCTTTTTCCTTCTTTCTATGCAATCAAAACGGAATAGTCCATTCTTTCTTTCTTTCTTTCTACCAAAATCCCCATCTTCGGAACATTTCTCTTAATAAGTTTTAAATTAATTCAGCAGATGATGGTATTTTATTTATGGTAATTGTATTTTTGACGATTGCTTTATTCGGTTTCCATTGTTCGATACTTTACCTCTGAAGATTGACACTTTGATCGCAGTCGTCATCAGCCTTTTTGATGAGATCAAAGTGTAATATCTGTTCTTAACAGCTTAATCTGATTTTCCCTCCTCACTTCTAGCTTTCATCTTTTCCTTCTTATTCATTCATTTTCTCACTGAAACCAAGTGATGTTTTTCCCCTCTTTTCACGGGATCAAAACGCGGAATTGTCCATTATTTATGACGTATTAATAGGATATAACGGTCGTACTAACGGATAGAGGAAAAGGTTTATTATTATTATTATTATTATTATTATTCGTTGACTTTTTACGCCATTAATAAATGGTGGTTTTCGACAGGGATCAAGTGACATTTTTTCCATTGTTCCAAAGTTGCGCATTAAAATAAGGAAATAAATAAATGTAATATAAAAATGAAATTCGATACAAATAGAAGTAAAATCAATGAAATATTAATAACTGTCAAATAAATCTAAGTGAATGAAAGAAATTCAGATATAAAAGAAAGGAAACATAAAGAAAGAGGAGAACAAAAATGAAGCTAAAGCGCAACAGGGCAAGAAGGGGAGACAAAGCTAAATAAACATAGGGAAAAAAGACATGAAAAGGGACAAAAAAAAAAGAAAAAGAAAAAAGAAAGTAAGAAAGTTAAAGAAAAAACGAGAAGGAAAGAATAGTACTTGAGAAAATAAAGAAGGAAATAAAAAAATTTAAAAAATTAATGAAGAAGAAAGAAGGAAAAGATGAAATGAGATATAGAAATTCGAACAAAACAAAGATGCCATGATATTCGGTTAAAAAAAGCCCATGCTTGATTATTATTGGGGGAAAAAGATGAATATTTCAATTATATGAGAGAACGAAAGCGAGATAGAGATAGAGAGAGGGAGAGAGAGAATGAGGAAGAAAATGGAGAAGAAGAGGAATAGAAAAAGAGAGGGGGAAGAGAGAAAGAAATAGAAAATAGGAAGAGAAAGATAAAATGAGAGAGAGATCTGTAAGGAGGCAGATGCAGAAAGATTTGTCACATCAGTGACTTAATGGAATAATCCGAATGTGTGGGATCCAGTTCAGGTCTAGGGTGGGATAAAGGGTCACATGCTCAGTGATCTGTGCAGAATTCTCAAAGTATGTTGGTCTCGAGTTATGCGCTGCTCTTGAAGAAATAGCTGAGTTTTTTTTTTGTACAAAACGAAAATTAGAATAAATAAGAATTAAAAGGTTAAAGAGAGAGACAAGAAGGACAAATGGAAAGGGAGAAAGGGAAACTAGAAGAAGAAGAAGAAGAAGAAGAAGAAGAAGAAGAAGAAGAAGAAGAAGAAGAAGAAAAGAAGAAGAAGAAGAAAAAAGAAGAGGAAGAAGAAGAAAAGAAGAAGAAGAAGAAAAAAGAAGAAAAGAAGGAGAAGAAAAGAAGAAGAAGAAGAAGAAGAAGAGAAGAAAAAGAAAAAAGAAGAGGAAGAAGAAGAAATGAAGAAGAAAAAGAAGAAGAAGAAGAAAAGAAAGAAAAGAAAAGAAGAAGAAGAAGAAAAGAAGAAGAAGATTTCATTCGGGAATGAAATGGAAATTAGGAAATGTAATATAGAAGAAATTAGGAAGAAGATTAGAAAAGACGATTCAGTCATTTTAACCGTCTCGTTTTATCAATCCTTTGCAGGTTATTTAAAGCCATAAAATAGTTTTAGATCGGAATAAGTTTTTGGGATAATAATGATTTAGTGAAAGTTTTAATAGTTAAGCCATAACAGGAAGAGAAGAGGTGGATTCATGCCTTTTCCGAGTGAATATCATGAACCCAACAGGAATTGGAACTCGGCTCTCCGATTAACAATTCCAAGACATTATCCATTACACCACCCGCACATACAAGTTTACAGCATCTGGTATGCTCAAGCGGTTACACATCTAGGTACTGACCAGGCTCTGCGTTGCTTAACTTCGGTGATCGTATGGGAACCAATGTTTCAACGTCATATAACCGTAAGCTCCGATAAAAAGAAAAAGCAAACAAGTGATGAGAAGAAGAAGAAGAAGAAGAAAGAGGAGGAGGAGGAGGAGGAGGAAAAGAAGACGATTAAGAAGAAACAGGAGATCTGAAAAGATAAATTACTGAAAGAAAAGGTGAACAGGAAAAGGAATGAAGAAGAAATTAAAAGATTAGAAAAATATAAGAAAGAATAGGTAAGAAAAGGGTAAAAGTAATAAACGATTAGAAGTATTAGTTTTATTAGTAATAGTATCAGTAGTTGCAGTAGTAGTAGTAGCAGTAGTTGTAGAAGTAGTAGTAAAAGTAAGTAGTAGTAGCATCAGTGGTGCTAAGTGTAGTAGTAGTAGCAGTAGCATTAGTAGACGTAGAATTAGTAGTAGTAACAGTATTTGTAGAAGCAAAAAAGAACAGCAACAACTGTTGGAGACGTGATTAACTTAGCAGAGAAAATGTGAAGAAAAGAAGAAATAGGTTCAAGGTAAAGAATCTTTTTCGACGATAGTCTAGAGATTGAGAAAAGAAAAGGTAAAGTAATTAAAGGTAATTGAAAAGAATGAAACGAAACCCGAAAGAAAATGCAATACGAAAAATGTCAATATTTAAGGACAAAGGGAATTGAAGATGCAAAACGTTGAAAGACAAGAATCATGAAATTCTGTTGAAGGTGAAAAGAAACATAAAGAACAAATTCGAGGATGGCCTATCAAAATTAATATCATGGAAAGCGAATAGACGTATAAAAATATCGCCCGAAAAAGAGAGCTAAATAATATATACATTTTTTCTTTTAATCGTTTCAAGGCGATAATGTCACTAGAACACAGGGACTTACAGAGAATGAAGGTGAAAGAGAAGACTGGAAGGGGACGATCGAAGAAAAGACTTCAAGAAGACATAAGATGGCAATTGACGTTGCATTTTTGAAGATTGTAGTTATCAGGGAAGCCAGAAATTTGAAGAGATTTCCATAAGTGCGAGAATAGAAACTATTAGAGTAGAACTGGCAGTTTTATCGAGCGAGTTAAACGATAAAACAGTGAGACCAAATTGCCAATCCAGTAGCATGCTTAAATTCATTTAGATCACGAAAGAATCGGAACAGTTTCCATGAAAATATTTGTAGAACAGAAGAGAGAAACGTCATGTCGATGAGAAAATCACTGAAGTCAAGATGCCTGGTTAGGATTGATTACATTACAGAACCTTCTTTGTATTTTGTCAAGAATCTCTATCTCTTTCTTTTTGACGGCTTATCAACCATTAGCAGGTTATTTAAAGCCGGAAAATATTTTTAGATTGTAAGGTATTTTTTAATTTGGAGATAATAATCTAGTGATACAAGTCCTACTAATTAACTCATAACCACGGGGAGGAGGGGAACAAGTGGATTCTTACCCTTCCCAATTTGTTATTTGCGTGAATAAAACGAACCTGATTGCTAGTGGAACTAGGATCTCCAATTCATTGCAACACCCACACAGCTTACATCACCTGATATTACCAAGCGGTCACCCTCTAGGTACTGAACAGGCTCAATATTGCTTAACTTCAGTGATCATATGAGAACCGGTGTTTCAACGTGACATGGAATCTCGAGATATACAACAGGATCTCCAGACCAGATATGGCGGGGCAACAGTATTTAATGTACGGTCGAATGGCAGATTAATAAATGTGAAAGATGGATTCTGACGAGAAGAAATTGTCTGACGCGTGACAGTGAACCAACTTTCATTCAATTTCAGGGATTAAAAACTATATGGAATACATTAAAACAAGAGAAATTAGACTGAAATTTAAAAGAGAAGGGGATGCAGGAAGATCAGAGATGAATCAGTCAACTCGATTGAATAATGCAATAAAAAGAACAGAAAATATTTTTTCTGCGTAAAGAAATTTATTATTTTTGCCTTACAACATTCATCCATGTTTTACAAATACGGTATAGAAAAGATTTATTGAATTTTGATGGGAAGATAGTAATAGACAATGGATTCTTTATACAAATTGCATTCAGAATATCAATGTCTGATAACTAATTCCAGAAATTTGAAAATTTCGAAGTATTTTTGTCTGTAGAATTCAACAGAAGAATATATAATTGAGCTGAAATATGTTAGAAAGACAACAGAAAAATAAAAGAGTTTGATGACTGAAAACTGATAATTCTAATATTTTTTATTATTTCATCCAAGCAAGGCAATAAAGCCACTAAGACGCAAGGAGTTACTAAGTGTTATAGAATATGAGAAAAATATTCTATTAAGGAGGAAGAATAATAAAAGAACAAGAGTAAAGAAGACAGAAGATAACGACTGAAGTTACCTTAAATTTTTGAAGATCAATGTTGACTGAGAAGCATAAAACAGTAAGCGAGTTCCACAAATGAGAAGTGCGAGAGAAGAAACAGTTAGCATAAAACTTACCGTTACATGAATAAAAAATAAAAAAAAGGTGTCTCAAATTTTGGAGATTGCATCAGATATATGCATTACTGTCATCTCCACCACGCCCAATCCATCTCTCTGGCAGATTCTCATTGAGATAAGCACGTTCTGTCCCCTTCCATTAAATATAAAAGCTTGATCTGTTTCTATACATTCTGTAAAAAATTCAGGTTATTTCAATAAGAATTGCCAGAATCATTGGCCTGCGAAATTATGTCAAATTTTTGGGACACCCTGGATATATATATATATATATATATATAATAATAATATTTTTTGTTTAAAAATATGATTCCTTCGCTACATAAGAGTTCTCATGTTTCAAAAACGAGAGCCGAAACCATCCCAATAATTATCAAAATTAAGTTGAATTGGGGTGTTTAGTTCCGTTTCATCTTCAAGCGAAATTTTAGGAATAAGCTATCTCTCGGTTTACGTGTGTTTTTAGGCACGGTCCGTTACAAAATTTGTTATTGTGGGAGTGGCTAGACTATTTTTCTTCGTTAAGTGGTCAGAGAGTTAATTCTTTTGATGACTACAGAAAGGGTTTTTCCTATTTAATGATTTGGCTAAGCTTTTAAGACTTTTATTTAGTTATGGGATTTTTTTTATGCTAATTATTTAATGCGAAAGTTTGATGTCGGCAAAAAACCGTTAACTCCTGCCTATGGTTTAATAATTTTTCATTATTTAGAAATTTAATGATGTGTAGTCTGCATACCTGCGCACTTACAAAGTCCACAAGTCAGAAAAAGTTAAGAACCACCTACAACAAATTAAAAAAAAATATCCATAATCCTACTCCCTAACATTATATCAACAAAATTTGAGAACCAACTAGTTATCCTCGACACTAAGATCAGTACCACTGCCTCCAAGACGATCAAAGACATAATTAACAAGAAAAATACATAAAAAACAACATCGGGCACCGGGATAATAAATAAATGCCGATGAAGTATATAGACGAAACATATAGAAATCTAAAAGCTTGATTCTACAGACCAAAAAGTGACCTACGTCTGAATAACCATTTGAACTCGCTCGTAATATACTTAGAGATAAAACAGCCATGACTTCGATTTAATAAATGTCACCCAACTAAGAAAAGAAGATAATCTATTACGTAGAAAATACTTAGAAGGTATCCTGATAAATATTTTCCCAAAAATAAACCTATGCAAAACACAGTTTATTATATGACCAACTTCAATAAATTTCCTGCTTAAAAAATCCGTTGACCTGCTATCACAACCGATGTAACCTAAATTCTTTCAGTTCTAACAAAAATATGTCTCAATCAAAATTACCGAAGAGACAAACACACACACATTATCAACGAAATCAGCATAGACTAACTGGAATTATGATACACAAACACACAATAATTATGAAGACGATCGCTGACAAGACAGATACGCGTGCAGTTTATTTAATTAATGTAAAACATACAATACAACAAAAAACAAATATCAGAATTTTCTTTTCTCCTCAACATTCAATTTCTGATAAAGTTTAAATAAAAAGCGAGACATGATAAATTTATAAACGTTCTCTATTTGTTCCTTATCCTATCATATATATATATATATATATATATATATATATATATATATATATATATATATATATATATATATATAAGTTTCATTAAAAACAGTGAGGCTTTTTGTTTAATTATATTTTATTGAACTTTTAACACTTTTTATGATTTCTGGTTGATACAGGGGTATGAAAATTTCAATATCTCCTGTGTACTTACAGAAAACTATCAGATTTTGTATATCAGTTATTTAGGAAAACTTTTTACCTACATACCCACATACACATATACCAACACATCAATAAAGTTTGATAACCCAAATTAAATGTTCAAAAATATATAGAGCATCACATAAACATACACAATATGTAATATATGTAGCAACAATCTTTCCTGAAGAAAATATCAAACTTTTATATATATATATATATATATATATATATATATATATATATATATATATATATATATATATATATATATATATATATATATATATATACCTGCATTAATGTAAAGCTCTTCAGTAAAATGAATTGGAGCACTCCGACTGAATGGTATTTATTTACATTCATAAAAAGAATACGCTAGATTTAGCTGCCGTTCGCTGTCGAATGAAGATAGCTCAGTGGTAGAAACTCTGGCTGATATCAAATCGGTTGGGTTTCGTTCCGCCTTGACGCACTTGGATGATTAGTCTCACTGAGGAGCACTACTGTCGGCTAATGAGAGATATATATATAAATATTTGTGTCTGTTATTAAACGCTATTTTTAGTGGATACTTATAGTAGAGTAAACGCTCCTTTTATTTATTAAACAATATTAATAAATAAATAAATGGAGCATCTACTTAAATATGAGTATCCACTAAAATAATGTTTAATGATACAATCTGTTGGATTAATAAATAAAAATCTATTGTTTCGAAAATTGCTTTGATTACGTTTGAATACGAAAGCAGATATGAAAAATTTCTAGACGTCTATGACGACAGGACTTTCGCTTAATGTCACTATTCAACGTCGCTTTAACGTGAAGGTTTCTCTATGGCTCAGTCGAGAAAAGCGAACCGGATCTAAAAACGGTACCTTCTATCTAGGGAGGCGTAGGTGTGAATTCTGTCGGTGAGTGCATATTTTTCTCTAATAAGATTTCTCGAAGATTCAGGCAGGTAGATGAAATTAAATAAACGTATAGAGATGTATAAAAGTTATTTTATTTAACTTCATTCAGTGGTGATAAATTTCGGTTTTGTTTGATATCCTTCTGTCAGATGTGGTAAACCTTTTCTTCCGCCCACTGCAAAGGTTTCATCAACCCAACGCCTAAAAATGACTCGCACATTCGTCAGAAATTGACTCTCACTTTTAAGCTCATATCATCTCGACATCTTAACGTATAAAAATACGTATATTCCTCAGCTTTCAAAATGGACATCAGAATACATGGGCCAAATCGTTGTATAAAAGACAAGGAAAGTTTTGCTAAGCAAAGAAAAAAATAAAAAAAAGTATCTTTAAGCTCGTGTTTGGCTTCATCTGTCCGTTCTTTGGACATCTTAACATTCGTTAATCCGTAATGACAGGGGGCTATTTGGCGCGTGTTTCTTGAGAACATGAAGACAGTTTTGGGAAGCTACTTTTGGGATTTGGGCATCGCTGCCCATTGGTCGTTGAAATAATGCCACTGACAAAAAGCACTTTACCCTGCCCCCCTCTCTCTATTTCTCTCTCTCTTTCTCTTACGTCACGACAAATTGGTGTGGAGACATGTACTCCTGGCATCACCAAAAGATACATAAATGTTGAGAAAGGAATAGTTTTAGTGATCAAAATGGACGTTTGACTCAAGCATGTAGTCTTGTTTCGCGGATTAAGCAAGCAATGTTTAAACATATATACCACTCAGTTTGTCAGGATTTCTTTTCCATTGATCCTATCTATCTCAGTCTTTTCGTATCTATCTATCTATCTATCTATCTATCTATCTATCTATCTATCTATCTATCTATAAAGCAGTTTTTTCGCATCATATCACATCTATCTATCTATCTATCTATCTATCTATCTATCTATCTATCTATCTATCTATCGCAGTCTTTTCAAATTAAAACGTCTGTAATGTAATCGATTCTGAGCAGGCATTTCAACTTCAGTTAATTTCTCACCGACGTAACGTGGCTCCCCTCTAGCTTTTCTACAAATATTTTCATGGTAACTGTTCTGATGAGCCTTTAAGCGTGAAACTACATTGGCAACGGTTAACTATAAAACCACTTAGATGCAACCGCCATTTCTACTCTAACAGTTTCTTTTCTCGCACTTCTCACCTGTGGAAATCCCTTCTGATTTCTGATTTCCATGACAACTACAATCATTAAAAATATAAATGCAACATCAGTCAGCATCTTTTGTCATTTTGATGCCTGTTCCTTTTTTTGTCCTTTCCTCAATCCTCTCCATTCTCAGTCTTCTCATTCTCTTTCATTTTCATTCCCCTTCGTTCTAATGTCATTATCGTCTTGTGGCGAAACGATTAAAAACAAAACAAAAAAAACTTACTCATGGAGTCTCTATCCTTGTGCCTGACTTGTTTTTGAATTCAGGGTTGTCTTTTCCTGGACTGTCCTTTCCTCAATCCATTTCACTAAAGTCTTCTTTCACTTTCATTATTTGTAACACCCTGCGTTCTAGTGGCTTTATCATCTTGATTGGGGTGAAACGATTATAAAAAAAAAGTATCTCAGCCTTTTTCGTATCTATCTATCTATCTATCTATCTATCTATCTATCTATCTATCTATCTATTCCAACCGATTCACATCTGTTTACCTATGTTCTCTACACTGATAGATAAATAATAATGATAATAATAATATAATTTTGCTTCTTCCCTTGGTAGTTATTTGTTAATTAATTAGCACGCACGGTAGTTCCCTGCGAATAACTCATAAATAATTCCGATTTGATCGAGAGGAAAGACGGAAAAGAAATATCAGAAACGCTCTTTTGTTTCAGTGAGAAAAAGAAAGAAAAAAAAAGGAAGACAATTCAATAAATTTCGTCTTTGTTTTTACAGCATTCTTATATTTTTCCTTTTGGTGGGAGTGCAAAAAAATTTCCGTATTGTCCATTGTCGCGTGCGCTTTCGACCATTTCTTTAACCATTTTCAAGCGGATTTGTCTCGTTTTTTTTTTTAATTTTCTCTTCATATTTGACTGTATAAGATGTGTTTTTATGTTATTTAGATACTAGTAGGAGCGTTTATTTCGACATCTGCGTGTTGAGTGCGGCTAAAAATGTGGCTGCTGGAAGACTCTATTTCTGGCAACATGCCACACAAGCAGGAGAACCCATTCATGGCTGTCAGACAATTTCTGCGACCACATCACTCCTTACATCTGGTCTCCTAACTTCGCAGACTGCAATCACCATAATTATGTGTAGGATACAATTGAGCCAAAGACCAACAAAACTCCTTGTAACACCAAAGACGAAATGAAGGCAAGGATTATGGCAGCAATCGCCAACTTAAATAAGGAGTACCCCCCTCTGTACCTGTAACGGCATTCCCCCGAGGTGGGTTGAGCCGGCTCCAATATTAGAGTTTCATGGGAATTTGAAATTCCCATGCGGTTCCCAACCGCATGTATAACACGAGATTTGATTATAGTGGTGAAGGTTTCATGCAGGACCATCCACACTTTTTGAAGGGTCGACTACAGAGAGCTGGTGCACTACGACAAACGACCCTTCGCAGGTTTTTCCTTCTCCTAGACCAGTTGCCATCCAAGGCTATAGAACCCAGTCTGTCTTGCTATTTACCCATAGCTGGAGAGAGAAGAAGAGGATTCACACCTTTCCCAAGGGTATTAGCACGTAAGTAAATGTAATGGATTCGACTGGAATTCGAACTCGGCCCTCCGATTCCTCAATCCAAGCCGCTATCCATTACTCCACCGTGCCAAAACAAGGAGGTCGTCCAGAAGAGTTGCAGGAGATTCCGAAGTCGTCTGGAGATTGAAGCTAATGGCGATTTTATTGAATAAATTTACTCTTCAAGATATTTTTGTGTAATTTTGGTAAATATAACTGTCAAAATGTGATGTTATTTTCATTTTTGTGTAATTTAGACGACAATTTATCCATCGCAGCATATCCTTTCTGTTACCTCATATTTTTATTGTTTCTAATTAAAGTTTCCTGTCTGTTAGTACTTTGTTTATCTTTCGTAATGCCTTTTTTTTTGCAATTTCAGCTCGCCTTCGGATTTTGCTGTAACATTTTCCGTCCTCCATTATATCTCTAGATATTTAAATTTTATATTTGCATTATTTTGCTAGCTCCAATTTGTAATTCGCAGCTTGAGTTGTTCCATTTGCTGTCAACTACAACAAATTCTGTCTTTTTTTAGAATTTATGTCTAAGTCCTTTCTGCTTGTTTACCTTTACTCCCGTCAACAGCAGTTCCTGTAGTTTCTTTTCAATGTCTGCTACCAGCACTGTGTCTGTATTTGTATTTGCATTTCGTTATTTGTCCCTTGGAAGGAACTTTTTTTCTCTCTTAAAGTTCTTCATCCTTACACTCACTTACAACATTCATTGAAGTTTTAGACATATAGGTCCTCGATTTGAGTTTATCTTTCATCAGCTGCCATGGCCTTGTGCCAAAATTGGTTAACTTTGGTTAAGATTCGATTTACTTTTATTTCCTCATCGTTTCGTTTAGTTTTCCTCTTACTGAAAACAGTCATGGTTGAGATGGAGAAGGTTTCTTTATAATCTGTCTTTCTTTTTTGAATGCCTATCAAATATTTCTCCTTTTCTTACATCTTACTTTTTATTTTCTTTCTTTCATTTGTTTTTCCAATATATCGCGTATCCAAAACACTCTCCTTTCTTTCTTTCTTTCTTTCTTTGACTGTTTTCAAATATTTCTCATTTCCATTAATATCCCTTTCTTTCTTTCTTTCTTTCTTTCTTTCTTTCTTTCTTTCTTTCTTTCTTTCTTTCTTTCTTTCTATCGTTTTTCAAATACATCTCGTATTCAAAACACTCTCCTTTCTTTCTTTGACTGTTTTCAAATATTTCTCCTTTCCATTCATATCCCCTTTTTATTTATTTATCTTTTTATTTCTTTTAACTGCTTTTCAAATATTTTCCTTTCCTTTCCTTTCCTTTTCTTTCTTTCTTTCTTTCTTTCTTTCTTTCTTTCTTTCTTTCTTTCTTTCTTTCTTTCTTTCTTTCTTTTGTTTTTCAAATACATCTCGTATTCAAAACACTCTCCTTTCTTTCTTTGACTGTTTTCAAATATTTCTCCTTTCCATTCATATCCCCTTTTTATTTATTTATCTTTTTATTTCTTTTAACTGCTTTTCAAATATTTATATTATATATTCTTTCTTTCTTTCTTTCTTTCTTTCTTTCTTTCTTTCTTTCTTTCTTTCTTTCTTTCTTATCAAATATATCTCTTATCCAAAACCATCTTCTTTACTTCTTTCTTCAATCCATCTCATTTCTTCCATTCTTCTTCCTTCGCATCAGTTTTTCTATCATTTTATCTTCTTTGTTTCTTTGTTTATTATATCCATTTGTTTTCTCTTTCACCATCTTTCTTTTCTAGCTTTCTATCTCACTTTCTCCCTTTCTTCCTCTTATCACTTATTAATTCAGGAACCCGAAAGTATGACAGATTTTTTTTTCTAATATGATTAGAGCAACATCTCCATAGATAACTCGCGAGTAAAAGAAATCACCGCAGAGAAAATGGAATAAAGAAAACGAAATCAAAACAGAGAAAGTGTTAAAAGAAATCATAAGAAATAAAAACTCAAACCTGTTGTAAGAAATTACGTACGATGACAAATATATACATATGTACATATATTTATATAAGTTTGTGAATATGTGTCTGTAGTATATAGATATAAGCGGTTCGTTTGTCGCCCTGAAAGAAAAAGTACATTTGTATAAAAATGAAAAAAAAAATCAAAAAAATCCTAAAAAGACAAATTCAAATGCTCTCTCTTCTTTTCTATTTGATACGCATGCGCACAAAGGTTAAACAGTAAGAACAAATATAACAGCATCACCATCAGCATCAAAAATGTTGGTATTCTACCATTTTTTTTTTTATTATTCCAATCCGTCAAATAGAAATAAAGTAAAAAGCATTATTCTACTTTTACCATCCATTAGCAGGTGATGCCTTTTCTAGCCGTCAAGTGAAAACTCTGAGATTATCACTGGTTCTTCCCAAGACTCGTTCCCTCAACGCCTATCCGTTCAGATCAAAGGATTAACGTTTGATTTATTTTTCACTTTGTTTCTGACTTTCGATTTCTATACTTCGTTTATTCCATTTTCGTTATTTTTTTTCTTCCTGCACGTCGGACTCATTTATTTCGCTAATTTCCATTTTTATTTCAAATTCTCGTTTTCCTTTCCCGGGTCTTTCAATTTACATTTCTGTTATGTACACTTGGCTTCTTACTTTGCAATTTTCACTTTTGACCAGGTACTTTTCCCCTCTACACTTTCATTCCTTTTTCTTTTCGTCTTTCTACTTAATTTCTTTCTTTGTATATACGTTTGTTTTTTTTTTCTTTTTGTAATATAATATTTTACTTTTATTTTCTCCTACTAACACCTTACGATTTTCTTTCTTTTTGCTATGCGCTCTACTGTTACTTACTGTCTACTATATTCTCTTTACTATCTTACATATTTATATGTCTACCATTCGTCCTTGCTTTGAATATTGCTGCTACACATAGTTTGGTGCTTCTGCTATATATTTAGAGATTCTTGATAAGATCTATAGAAGAATCTGCATGCTCCTGACCCGGCATTTTGCCATCAGTCATTTCCCCACCGCCGTAATGTAACTTCCCTCTTTATTTTCTATAAATAATTTCATGGTAATTGTTCTTATGAACATTCCTCTATGTTTTTTTAGACTTTATTAAATTTAAGTAGCGGCAAGTTCTTATCATTCTGCAGTTGAGATGGCTAGATGTAACTGTAAGTTCTATGCTAAGACTTTCTTCTATTGCACTTATTGCTTGCGGAACTCTCTTCCGGCTTATTGCTTCCCAGTCAAATTTTATCTTCAAAAATTTAAGTGAAATGTCAATCGTCATCTTCTGTCTTTTTAAATCTTATTCTTTTATTGTCCTCTCTCCCTAATAGTATTTTTTTCACAGTCTCTGACATGCAGTAAGCCCTTTGCCCTTCATTGGAACTTTATTCAGCTGGATTTAAACAGTTTACTCTTTGTATGTTAAGAACATATTTCTTCTTCTTTATACGCTGTGTTTCTTCAGGACTTAGTCGGATATGACTCCACAATTTTCTGTCCTTTGTAGCTATTAATAAATTTTGTCTTTGTGTTATTTATCCTAAACTCTATTCCATCATCCATTTACTCAGGCTCACTGAGTTTTGCGTTGTTTTCCTCTGTCTCATTTGCTTTTAATCTGTCCTGTGAGTATCAAATTTTCCAAACCTTCTTTCCTCGTGTGCCCTAGAAATTTCAATTGTCTCTTCCAGATTTTACGTGTAAGTTTCCTTCTTGTTTCTATTTTCTATAACACTTCGTCGTTGCTTACATAGTCATGGCATGGAAATGTAATGTAATCAATCCTGACGAGATATCTGGACTTCAGTGATTTTCTCTCTGATGTGACGTGGCTTCCCTCTGTCTTTTCTGCAAATATTTTCATGGCAACGGCTCTAACGAAATTTTCCCCTGGTGTCCCGACTACATGTCAACTTGACTAGCTAGATACAAACGCCACTTCTACACTAATAGTTTTTTCTCGCACTTTACGCCTGTGGACATCCCTTCAGAGTTTTTTGCTTCCCAGTTCACTACAATCTTCAAAAATTTAAATGCAACGACCGTCGCCATCTTTCGTCTTCTTGAACCCTGTTCCTTTTTTTATCATTTCCCTAATCCTCTCCATTCTCATTCTCTTTCAATTTCATTCCCTGTAAGCCTTGCTTTGGGGGAAACGATAAAATAACAAAATCTCTCACTCCTGGAGTTGCTATCCCCATGACCAACAGGTTTTTGAATTCAGGCTTATCATTATCCTAGACTGGTTGCCAACCTGTCTCACTATTTATTCTCTAGTTCAACGAAGAAGAGATGTATTCATATATTTCATAAGAGGCCCTTTGAACTAAAACCAATGTAACGAATATGACTAGAATTCGAACTAGCCTTGGTGAATTTTCGCACAGAGCTGGTAAAAATTACATCACCATTACTTCCTCTGTGTTTTCTCGGTCTGTCTTTTTCGCTCTCAGTCTGTCTCTCTCTCTTTCTACCTCGATAATATGATTCCAGAGAATGATGGCTTCTTCTTCCCCATCTTACCTCCCAATAGGAATCCAATTACATACTCTCTTTCTTTCTTCCTCCAAATACAATATAAACCGATACCAGAAACAGTTTGAAAATCCTCCGAATTTTAAAATTAAAATTGTAGGTGAAAATGGTCATTTACTAAAGGTATCATAATTCCAATTGTAAGAGATATATATATATATATATATATATATATATATATATATATATATATATATATATATATATATATATATATATCAGGTCATCCCATAAGTTCTGTCCGAATTTTAACTCTTTGTTAAAATGAACGAAATTTAAAGTGTATTTTATAATGTCTAATGGAGCTGAACATTATTTTTATGTTTAGATGCATTTAAACTGATCAAATTTTATTTCAGAGAACAATAAAATTAAATTTTGTTTGATTAAAAACCTGCAAACATGGAAGTACCCAAGAATCATTTGAGGCACATAATGCTTTATGAGTTTAAGAAAGGAAACTCAGCAGCCGAAGCGGCTAGAAACATTCACTCAGTTTATGGAGAGGAATGTGTGAATGAAAGAACTTGCAGAAGGTGGTTTGCAAAATTCAGAGGTGGAGATTTCACCCTTGAAGATGAAGATCGAACCGGACGTCCAGTTGAGTTTGATGAAAAGCTTCTTGAAGCAGCCCTTGAAGAAAATCCTGCTTTATCAGTTGAGGAATTGGCAGTGGTTCTCAGTTCAAATTATACAACTGTTCATTGTCATCTTCAACAACTTGGAAAAGTTTCTAAACTTGGAAAATGGGTGTCTCATGAATTGTCTGAAAACAACCTCAAATCCAGAGTTGACATCAGATCTTCTCTCCATTCTCGCCAACTTGTTTCACCTTTTTTAGATAGACTTGTGACTGGCGACGAAAAATGGATCTTTTATCGAAATGTTAAGCATCGTAGACAGCGGCTTGGAATAATCCACCTTGAATTCTTACCACCTAATGCAACAATTAATGCTAAAATATACTGTCAGCAATTAGAGTCTTTGAACCAGGCTTTGAGGAAAAAAAGACCTGCTCTAGTGAATCGAAAAGGGGTGATGTTTCATCAGGACAATGCGCGACCTCACATAGCAAGAATCACGTCACAAAAGATCGAAGAACATGTTTGGGAGAAAATTCCTCATCAACCTTATTCTCCCGATCTTTCTCCTTCAGACTACCATTTGTTTCGTAGCTTACAGAATCATTTGGAAGAAACAGCTTTTGTAACACAGGAAGAGGTTAAAACTGACATTTGTGAGTTCTTCGAATCAAAGCCAAAAGAATTTTACAGTAATGGAATTAGTAAGCTTGTTAATAGATGGAAGGAAGTCATAGATAATCAGGGAAAATACATTGTTGATTGAATCTGTAATTAAAAGTAACAATTGGTCACTTGTTTTCTTTATTCAAAATTCGGACAGAACTTATGGGATGACTTGATATATACATACATACATACATACATATATATATATATATATATATATATATATATATATATATATATATATATATATATATATTAGAGTTATGACTTTTTTTACCCTATTTATGTTCCAGAGTCATAAATTGATGAAACTTTGTTCACAAGTAATGAAAAATGCATTAATTTGTTTTAGTTCTTAAAAAAAGGTCTACCCAAAACAAAAAAATCGATTATAGCATAAACAAAATAAGGGTAAAAAAAAATCAAAATATTTCACAAGCTTTAGTTTTCAATTTGCTAATGATGTAACTGGATAGTACTTATGTATTTTTTAACATATTTAAAAGTTTAAAGCGAAAGCATAACATACAAACTTACAAATAAGCAAAAATAAATTCTAGAATATTCCATAAAGTTCTAGAAGACACAGGATGTCCTAGAAAATTTCATAAGAATGAAGTATAACTATACTTATTTACGATGTGAGAGATTTCGTGTTGATGCGACTTAAAAATAAACTGATTTAAACCCTTTATAGAAAGATACTAAAACCTTCATTTTTTTTTAAACAAACGTTCATAAAAATATGATAGAGGAAATCAAATATTTTAACCTCAGTGCACCATTTTATATTTACATACGTTTTCCATGATATTGAACAGTTTTAAGCTTATAGCATACTTTAAAACCTCTCTCTCTCTCTCTCTCTCTCTCTCTCTCTCTATATATATATATATATATATATATATATATATATATATGTGTGAAAAAATATATAGAAAATAGGAAAGAACTCGTTAGGTAAATAATCCAAAGTTCTTTAGTATTTTTGCTATTATTTTTTAAAAATAGTGCTCGATACAAAAGTAGAGCATAAATATAATTATATATATATATATATA